GCCCCTTACACAGCACCTTCCAAACCAATGACCTGCTTCCATTTAGAAGTACAAGAGCAGTAGATCGTTTTCGCTCATTCGTGAGACTTGGCCATCGTTGGTTGACCAGCAGTTTTATTGCCCGTCCCCAGTTGCCCTTGATAAGGTCGCGATGAGCTGACTTCTTCAACTGCTGCTGATGCCATGTTGTGGGTTGATCCACAATGTTCTTAGGAAGACCAGAATTAGCTTTATTGTGACGTACTCAAATGAATACAGTGAAAAGTATATAAGTTGCCATTTACAGCACCACCTCAGGCAAAAAGGTCTCTAGGTACAGCTTTTTCCGTTACAGTTCTTGGAAAAATAGTGAAGTAAAAATGTCCATCATTGCAGATTTCAGGAATAAATTATAAAATGGAGAAAAATAGAAATTCAGAACAACGGTCTTCCAACCCAGTCCATGCCAGCACCTAGCCTCGAAACCACACCAGGCCTTGACTCTAGACCACGACAGGCTTTACTTCAAGGTACATGAGGCCGGGAGATTGCTTTGGAATCACCTCGAGTCCAGAAGTCCAGGCTGAGGCCATGCCAGGTGCTCTCCATTGGACCAGGATTGAATGGGGCATATGCCGGGCCATGAGGTTGCAGATTGTGCTGGAGTACAATTCTTTTGCTGTTCATGGCTCACAGCACCTCATGTATGCCCAGTCTTGAGTTGCTAGACTGTTCAAAGTCTGTCTGATTGAGCACAGTGATAGTACCAAACAACACAATGGAAGGTTTTCTCAATGTAAAGGCAGCAGTTCATCTCCACAAGGACTGTGCAGTAGTCACTCTTACAGATACTCTCATGGACAGATGCATCCACAGCCAGCAGATTCATATGCATGAGGTCAAGTATATTTTTCTCTCGTTGGTTTCCTCACCACCTGCTGCAGACCCAGTCTAGCAGCTACATCCTTCCGGACCCGACTCGCTCAATCAGCAGTGCTGCTGCTGAGCCACTCTTGGTGGTGGACATTGAAATCCCTCCCCCAGAGTTAATTTTGCATCCTTGCCTTCCTCTAAGTGTTGTTCAACATGGATGGGTACTGATTCATCAGCCAAGAGAGGACAGGACATCTCCAGGGATGGCAATGGCGGTGTCTGTGATATTGACTGTCAAATATGATTTCATGAGTATGACTATGTCGGGCTGTTGCTTGAATAGTCTATGAGAGAGCTCTCATAATTTTGGAACTAGCCCCCAGACGTTAATAAGGAGGACTTTGCAGGGTCGACAGGGCTGTTTTTGCCGTCTTCTCCTGTGCTCAGATCGATGCTAGCTGGTCCACCCGGTATCATTTCTTTGTTGAGACATCGTAACAATCGATACAACTGAGTGGCTTGCTAGGCCATTTCAGAGGGCAGTTGAGAGTCAGCTACCCTGCTGTGAGTCTGGAGTCACATGTATGGCAGACCAGGTGAAGATGGCAGATTTCTTTCCCTGAAGGACATTAGTGAACCCTGGGATACATGGAAACACGACCACCTGCAAGTTCATTCCAAACCAATCACCATCCTGATTTGGAAATATATCGCTGTCTTTCAATGTCACTGGGTCAAAATCCTGGAACTCCCTCCCTATCGAGCATGCTGCTCTATATTGGATGGTATCTTGAATTGTGGGCCATCTTCAAAAGAGTTTAAGAAGGCAGCTCACGCCCACGTTATCAAGGCAATTACGGATAATAAATGCTGCAAAAGCCGGAGAAGCCCACATTCCCTGATTGACTAAAACAAGACCCTGGCTCCACTGGGATATTTAAAATAAATTTCATGGAGGTAATAGTCTTTTGGTATTATTGCTGGTCAATTAGTGTGGAGACGCAAGTAGCGTTCTGGGGTTCAAGTCCCACCACAGCAGATGGTGGAATATGAATTCATTTTTTAAAAATCTGGAAAATTAAGAGTCTAATGATGACCATGAATCCATTGTCAATTGTCAGAAATACTCATCTGGTTCGCTAATATCCTTTAGGGAAGGAAACTGTCATCCTTACCAGGTCTGGCTACATGTGACTCCAGATCCACAGCAATGTGGTTGATTCTTAACTGCCCTGTGGGCAATTAAGGATGGGCAATAAATGGTGCTCTACACCGTGATGCTGTCAACCCATGAATGACTGAAAAAAAGAAAATAAATATACCTTAAATTTTGTTTTGCTCACACATGCTGTATATGCAACATCAAGAGGCTCAAGAAATCCAGTTCCACTCTATATCAATCACTAAAGTCCAAAAACAATGTTAGGCTTGTTATTTATGTAAATAATAGGCCTGGACATTTGCCTATGCCAGCATGGTAGTCCCCATACCATTGTCTTTCATGGAAAGTGAGTGTTGTTGGCAAGATCAATATTTATTGCACATCTCTAGTTGTCAATGAACTAAGTGACTTGCTGGGCCATTTCAGATGGCAGTTAAGAAACGGTGGGTCTTCAATAACAATAAACCAGACGAAGATGAATGGCAGATTTCCTTCTCTGAGGCACATTAATGAATCACATTGATTTTTAAGACAATTGATGTGAGTTGTCATGGTCAACATTACTTGAATTAGCTACACATTCCAGATTACTTGTGATAACTTGTTTGAAGATGTTGGGAAGTATTCCACAGATATCCTTTAATGTAGTCTCAAAGCTGAGTTAGGAACATGTTAAATAATAGCGTGCAATTCTATAGTATATTCCACTTTAACACAATAAAACATCCTCACGTACTTCATAGGAGCACTGCCAAGAAATATTTGACAACCAGCCATGTGGGGGATATTAGGGCAATTATCTTAATCAAAGAGGGAGGCTCTAAAGAGTGTATTAAAGAGGGAAGTATAGAGGTGGGGTTAAAATTGAATCAGAGATAGTAGGAACTGCAGATGCTGGAGAATCCGACTGGTTTCAGAAAGCAATTTCAGAGCTTAGGGCTTAGGCACTTGAAGATATGGCTATTGATGGTTTAGCACTTAAAAAATCTGAAACGTTGTCAGGCCAGCAAATTTCAATCTTATCTTCACTTGTTCCAACATAGGTTACGTTGCTAAAAGAAATAAACTTTCATTTTATTATTTTTCATACAGGACCTTACGTATTATAACACAGCAATGGAGCAAGACTCAGGTAAGAGTTTGTTATTTAAAATCTAAAATAGATGTATAGCTATAATCTCAGTTATTGCCATTTTACAATGGAGTAAAATAGTACTCATTGTTTTGTGAATGTTTGCATTGTGTGCAGCACATTGTTTATCCTCTTAAGTGGAAATGAATGAAAACAGGGCAGAGCATTAATACACAGAGACTGTGTTCAAGGTAAAGTACTCCACAGTTGCGGTTAGATACCAATCTGCAATTTTGGAGCAAGGCACAGGAAACATGCTGAATCTCAAGCATGACTTGTTCAGCCCAATCCCCATGTGAGATTCCACAATTGGTCATGTTTCCAGACATGATATCCCAAATTATTAAGCTCCTGGATGAGGAAGGGCAAACTGGCTCTTTTTCTTTATTCACCCACCTCTTTGATTGGAACAAAATTAATTAGAAATCATCTCTTTCCTTATAAATACCTTTGTCCCAGATCCAAATGAATTTACATTTAGAAAGGAGCCAAATTAACCAGTTTTCTTGTGTTAACAAAGAGTGAGTTTATTAATAACTAAACCTAAGGCAGGCAGTCGACTGTTCATAAGTAGTTTATTAAAAAGCAGTGGTTTAGATATTGTACCTTAGCTAAGTGGACAGAAAAAGTGTACAGCCCACTATGGTTGAGGGTGATTCACCGATGTCAGAGGATGAATGGATAATTTACACAGAGTGTGTTGATCTTAATCGTTTGTCATAGCAGCGTCCTGCTGTCTTGCTGAAGTACTAGGGAACTCTTTCTTCGGTTCTTCCTCCATCTTCCCTGGTCCAGCTTCCATCTGAAGAAGACCATTGCATGACAAGGGCTGCTATCTGTAGAGGACTGCATCCTGTCTCCAAGTACTTGTCAATATATTTCTGTGACCTGGTATTTTAAACCTTTCAAACTAATGAATACAGGGCAGATGCCCCAAGATGATAGGATGCTGATCTGCCTTCCTGTCCATCTCTGAGCTTGAGGCTACTTTTTAGAAGGTAGTTAACTGGTCCTTACTAGACATTTGTACAACTAAAAGGGCACACAAGACACCATTCTACCAAATTAAGAATGTCAACTTGGAATCCTAAGCCAAGAGATCCTGAAATTTCGAGAGATTGTTTATCTTTATTTCAGAGAGGGACAGAAAACAGTTTCTCCTCTGAGGTGACCTTATGCCATGCCTATCAATTCTTATATGTATTTCAATGCCAAGTTAGTATCATCTACCAAAGGTCCTATTACTTACACTTACGCCGCACCTTGTTGTAGCTGTGTTTTAGATGGCCTACAGCTCTAGACTGATGCTATTAGCATCTCTCAAGAGACAGCACATCTTTTCAGTTAGCAGTTTGTTGATGCCCTGTTTGCAAGAGTAGGCAGTGCATCGACTTTCCAATGCTGGTACCTCACAAGAGGACAGTGGGATTCACCTATATTGCTGGATTCGTACATGTGCAGGGTATTATTGATTGCAACCATAAAACAAGGCAACGAGTGAGCAACCAAAAAGATTCTTCAATACGAAAAGCTTCTTTTCCTTAAATGTTCAACCAGTCTGTGGCCATTCAAGAACATTATATAAGCCTGTGCATGCTATCCTGACTGCTGCCATGACAAGGGCTATTTGGGATGGGCAACAAGTGCTGGCTTGCCAGTGAAGCGTACATTCCATGGGCAAATTATAATAAACATATCTTCATCCTTCAGTAATTGAAGTTTGATGTGTTTCAAGGCATCAGCAAAACTCCCTGGATAATTTCTGAGAAATGAACAGTATCCCTGAAAGAAAGGTCGAATGAAAGCTTTGCGTGACCTGCAATGGAGATGCAAATGCCATTTTGGGCTAAGCCATCTCCTCAGGGTAAACAGGCCAGGAGGAGGAGGAAGAGGAAAAAGATGTAGGGCAGAAATGTACCTATGATGTGCAGGGCAGTTGTTGATGCACTCATCAGGGAGATGGCATGGTTGCTAGGGCCAGTCTGAAATAAGCACATTTGCACTACTCATCAAGCATAAGTATATAAGTGCACTCCGTTTGTGAAAAGGCATCCATAATGCACATGACTGAATGGTTAAATCCACACCCAAAATAAACAAAACAGCATCACAATGTACACATTCCCAGACCAGTGCTTATTCACTTCTTCCTCCTTTTGCAATTCTGTTATCAAAGAATGGAAACACCCAAGTCTGGCTGTATGCTGTGGGGAAATGATGATAATGTCTTCGGGTAAGAAACCTAGAGCTCCAGGCTCATTTACAAGAGACTTGTGGTCATTGGCAGATTGAATTTAAATTCAATAAAGTCTAGAATTAACTGCTTGTCTAACGACCATATAACCATATAAAATCAAAATACCGCAGATGCTGGAAATCATGGAATCACTACAGTGCAGAAAGAAGCCAGTCGGCCCATCAAACCTGTACCAAACCTCTGAAGGAGCATCCCACCCAGACCCATCCCTCTACTCTATCCTTGTAACCTCGCATCTACCATGGCTAATCCACCTAACCTGAGGGACATAGATAAAGTGAACAGCAAAGGTCTTTTCCCTCAGGAAGGGGCATTCAAAACTAGAGGGCATATTTTTGAGATGGGAGGAAAAAGATTTAAAAGGGACCTAAAGGGCAACATTTTCACACATGGTCTGTACGTGGAATGAACTGCCAGTGGCAAATGATGATTTCTTTTTCCTTTATTCATTAATGGGATGAAGATGTCACTGGCCAGGCAGCATTTATTGCCCATCCCTAATTGTCCAGAGGGCAGTTTAGAGTCAACCACATTGCTGTGGGTCTGGAGTCACATGTGGGCCAGACCAGGTCAGGATGGCAGTGTCCTTTCCTAAAGGACAGTAGTGAACCAGATGGGTTTTTCCCTGACAATCGATTCTTAATTCCAGATATTTTATTGAATTCAAATTTCACCATCTGCTGTGGTGGGATCTGAACCTGGGTCCCCAGAATGTTATCTGAGTCTCTGGATTAACAGTCCAGCAATAATACCACTAGGCCATTGCCTCCCCTACGCTGATGATGACAGTGCCTCATGAGGGATAGCTTCGTAATTGTTGTCTGTGACTGCCTTAGACTTTTAATGCCCTGTCTGGGAAGTAAAGAGATGCTAATGCTCAAGGATCATGAGTTCAAATCCCATGATGGGAGCAGGTGAAATTTAAATCCAATTTTAAAACATAGTCAATGAAAAAAACTCTGGAAAATAAAGCTAGTCCAAAATTGACCTCAAAGCCATTGCTAAAAGTTCCAATTTGGGAAGCAAATCTGCCATCCATACCTGATCTGTTCTGTATGTGACTTCACACCCATTGTAATGGAAGGGGCAGCAAATGCAGGCCAATCCATTAACAAATATTTTTTAAAAACTCAGAATTCATCTACTGAGGGCAAGACGAAGCATCTTTAGCCCCTGTATTGCCTGCTGCCCTGTTGTGTCAATTCATCACATGCTGATCCCTTGCTTGCTTGTGCATTTCTTGGAGTTTATTCATTTATGGGATGTGGGCATCAGTAGCACAGCCAGCATTTGTTGCTCATGCTTAATTGCCTGGGAGAAGTTGCTGTGAGCTACCTTCTTGAAGCACTGTAGTCTCTGACTGTAGAGGCACGCACAGTACTGTTTCGAAGGGAGTGCCAAGATTTTGACCCAGCAACAGTGAAGGAACTACACTATACTTACAAGTCAGGACAGCATGTGGCTTGGAAGGGAACTTGCTAACGTTCTCATGCAGTGCTGCCATAGTCCTTCTTGGTGATAAAGGTGTTGTCTTGGTGAGTTATTACAGCCCATCTAGGTATAGCATACACAGCTGCCACTGTGTATCAGTGGATGAGGAAGTGCATGTTGAAGGTAGTGGGTTGGATGATAATTAAGCAGGCCATTTTGGCTTGGGTAGTATCGAGCTCTGTGCATATTATTGGAGCTGCACTCATCCAGACAGGTGGAGAATATTCCATAATACTTCTGATTTGTACCTTGTATGTCAGGCTTCGGGGAGACAGGAGGTGAGTTACACGTTGCAGAATCACTGCAGTACTTGTTTGAAGTGTAGATGCTCAAGTGATTTGTCAACATGTCGCATTTCAACTAATTCCACATCCTTGGAGTGGTCAAGTGATTAAGATGCTAGAAAGCCACCATGTCCCCTGCCATACTTCAGTGCTTTCAGGAAAATTGGAAAAATAAAATTTATAACTGCATGTGAAAGCATGAAGAGTATGGCTGTTGTTGTAGTTCATCTATCTTGATAATAAATCTTCCACCACCTCTTATTCTGCATTTCTGAGTAGTTGATTAAAAGTTATTCTGGAAAACTCACCATTATATTAGCTTTCTTTTTTCATTTTACACAAGGTCAGTTTCAAACATCACCACGGTCTAAGGATTATGCAACATGGGACCATCATTATAATCAACTACAAGCTGACCATCCAGTATCAAGGTACTTCCTGTTTATAATTCAGTGAATAGATAACCAGTTGTGGGCAGAAGACGTAAAAGTTTGAAGATACGTATGACCAGGTTCAAGAACAGTTTCTTCCCTGCTGTTATTAGACTTTTGCACCGATCTCTTAAATGTTAATGTTGATCTCTTTCTCTCCCTGCACCTTCATTGCGACTGCAACACAGTGTTCTGCACTCTGTTCTGCTGTCTGATGCATTTTGTATGGTACAATCTGCCTGTAGAACAGGCAAAACAACTCTTTTCACTGTATCTCGGTATCTTTAACAATAATAAATCAAATCAAATCAAATCAAAAATCAAATCAAAAACTATGCATCTATCTTTGCTGATGACTTCCAAATTCAGTGGAATTGTGAACATTGATGAGAACTTTGCAAAGTGACATTGATGGATTGATCACTTGGTAAGATAGAACATGATGTATTGCTGAGAAAAGAGACATGATGTTGAAGGTTTTCATCTGACAGTCATCAGCTCAGACACAAGGATGCCAGATTTCAAAGGAAACGACAGTTCAGACTGTATGAGAAAAAGGTACTAAGTGGTTGGCAATTCAACTCAGAGACAACAAGGTGCAGGGCTGGATGAACACAGCAGGCCAAGCAGCATCATAGGAGCAGAATTGATTAAGTTGAGTTAGATTGTGTCCAAAAGGTAGTGAAAAGGACTAGAGGAATATTAACCTTTATCTCGAGAGAGTTGGAAGAAAGAAGAGCATATAGCCGGACGAGTTAATTGTGGTGCAAGGACTTGAAATGAAAATAAGAAATGCATTCTATTCTCTAGATAAAGAGTTTGCCAGTCCAGCAAGGTGGAAGTGATGGGCCAGGTCGTTGCGTAGCTGAGGCCACAGGCTTTGGTCTTCTGTATGTTGTTTGTGGAGCTTGTCTGTTGGCATGATCTTGAACGAGGAAAGGAATAAATGTATTTCCAAGGCAATAATGCATTTCAGGAGTTTAACAGGAAAAGATGGAAATGAACAAAAATTGCAAAGTGTGGCTGCTCTATAGCTTGACTATATTGACCTCATTTGTGTTGACATCTGGCCCGTCTAGCATTGTCATGGAAAAATCTGAATTTCATACAAGTGAATATTGTGATTGATGATTGAAGCTTTTATTTTGATTCCATCAGTTTTGATGTTAAAAGCATCAGACTCCAAATTTTATTGCACTATTCCAAATCGACAAAATTTTAATCAATCCTTTTATCAACTTGAGGCTGCTATCCACAGTGCTTTGTTATATTCTTAAAAGATAAATAATCAAGAGTCCAGCTTTCATAACCTGACCAATACTGAGGCCTGTTGCCCAGGCCTTCATTCTCATTGACCTTTGTCACTGCTCTGTCTCTAAGCTGATCAAATTTAAAGTAAAAACAAACTAGTGTTGATGCAGATCATCAATGTGCAAAAACACCTGTTTCGCTTTCTCAGCTGATGCTATCACATCTACTGAGTGTTTATCAAATTTTCTTTATTATTTAAATTTAAAATCTTTGCCCCAGCTATCAATCACTCCAAGAGTTCTGCGCGTGATGCCCATTCCTCAACATTGGTGTGGACATATTCTGAATCTTTATTCCGCTCCATCTTCACTCTGCACATGCCAGAACATTCATCATTTAGGTTCCATTTTTTTTAAAAGTTATCCAAAAAATAAGCCTGTCCCCTCCTTCAAAAGCCAGTTGAAGCTTATTGTTTTGGCCATGTCCTCAGCCACATCTGGTGTAAACATATACGAACAAGGAGCGGAGCTGGCCCCCTGGACAGGGGGCCACTGCCTCAGGATATGTGACAGACCTTTCAGATTTCTTCACTCAGAGCGTGGTGCACCTGTTGAATTCTCTATCAAGGAGGCTGTGTCAATCAAGTCACAGTATAATTAAGAAAGAGATAGATTTCTTGGGGCTAAAGACATCAAAGAGTATGGGGAGAGTGTGGGAGTATGGCATTGAAACAGAATCAGTCATGATCATATTGAATGATGTAGTAGCTGAATTGTCCAAATGTCCAACACCTGCTTCTGGTTTCTATGTTTGAATACTTGTCCACAGCACATGCTACATTCATAAAGGACTCCCACAGATTGGTAAAGCATAACTTCCCTTTCACAATGTCAAACTGACTGTGCCTGATTACCTTGAATTTATCCAAGTGCCCTGCTGTAACTTCTTTAATAACAGCTTGTACTGTTTCCTTATGACAAATGTTAAGCTAACTGGCCTATCTGTTACCAACATCCACACCTACCACCTCTCCCCCACGCCATGCCACTTTTTGAATAAAGGAGTAAGTACATTTGCCATCTTCCAATATCCTCTAGTTTTTCTTACACTTTCCAAAATGTGCTTTCACTTCTTCAAGATGGGTTGAGGCTTATTTTGTTAGAGGCTCAAGGCACACATCAACCCAAGTATTTTTATCCAAGACATGCTGTGTGCATTCTCTGGAGAAGTTTAGTATGCTTGCCTTTATTGGTCAGTGCATTGAGTACAGGAGTTGGAAGGTCATTTAGTGGCTGTACAGGACATTAGTTTGGCCAGTTTTGGAGTATTGCGTGCAATTCTGGTCTCCCTCCTATAAGAAGGATGTTGTGAAACTTGAAAGGGTTCAGAAAAGATTTACAAGGACACTGCCAGGGTTGGGGTTGATGAGCTCAAGGGAGAAGCTGGATTGGCTGGGGCTATTTTCCCTGGAGTGTCGGAGGCTGAAGGGTGACCTTACAGAAGCTTATAAAATTGTTAGGTGCATGGATAGGGTAAATAGGCAAGGTCTTTTCCCTGGGGTGGGGGGAGTTCAAAACTAGAGGGCATAGGTTTAAGGTGAGAGGAGAAATGTATAAGAGGGACCTAAGGGACAACTTTTTCATGCAGAGGGTGGTGTGTGTATGGAATGAGCTGCCAGAGGAAGTGGTGGAGGCTGGTACAACTACAACATGTAAAAGGCATCTGAATAGATATATGAAGTGTTTAGAGGGATATGGGCCAAATGCTGGTAAATGGGACTAGATTTATATAGGATATCTGGTCAGCATGGATGAGTTGGACCAAAGGGTCTTTTTCTGTGCTCCATATCCGTATGACTCTGTGTTCATTGCCTGGCTGTGAGTTGCCTGGCTTGAGCTCATTTAAATAAAGGTTGTCAAGATTGTTATGATACATTAATAGAGATCCACAAAACATTTGCATTAGTGTCTTGATATTGTAATAATATTCTTTGAATTCTTATCAACTTCTTCCCATGCCATTCCTTTCATTCCATATTCATACCATTTCTTTCATCCCTGTCCTATCATTTCCAGCCCATTCCAATCCCACTCTCATTTCTAGGACATCCTCAAACCCCATTCCATTCCTTCCAATAGCTCCCAGACTCTTTCCCATACTATCTCAGATCCTCACACATCTTCACCCCATCTCCCCAAGCATTCTCCCCAATCCCTATGTTGTCCTGCCCTCTCCAGACTCATGCTGATCCACCTTTCCTATCATCGAGATACCAGTAATCAAGGACAGAGGTGAATGAGAGTTGGGCACAAATGCACAGTCAGCAAGTCTAGAAACACAACAGCTGAGGGCCCAGTAAGTGAGGCCACTGGTCAGCAAAGGCCAGGGACATAGGAACAAAGGAAAAGGAGTAGGCCATTCAACCCATCAACTCTACCCTGTCACTTATTATAATCATGACTGATTTAACACTTCAATGCCTTTTATCTACAGTATCCCCATAAACGTTCACACCACTGGTAATCAATAATCTATCACCTTTCTTTTAACTACACTCAAAAGGCTAAGCTTCCACAGTCCTTTGAGGCAAAGAATTCAAAAGATGCACCACCCTCTGAGTAAAAAAATGATATTTTCATCTCAATCCTAAATGACATCTACGTTATTTTTGAATATTGCCCTCAGTTTTAGATGTCCCAGTCAGGGAAACATTTGACCTCCGTTGACCCTCTCTATCCTTCTTTGTATTTTCTCGTCTTCAGTATCACTTCTCATTCTTCAAAACTCTGGAGAATACAGTCCCAGAATATCCAGCCTCTTTTAAGACATCCTGGGAACAAGTCTGGTGAACCTTTATTGCATGCCCTTTATGGCAGTGATATCTGAGAATCACTGAGAAAAGGAGACCAGAATACCACACAGTACTTATGGTGTGTTCTAGCCAAGCTACTATACAATAAAAGAAAGAATTCACTTCTCCATGTACTGAAATCCACTTGCAATAAAGATTAACCTTTAGCAAATTATTGACAAGGATATCCAAATCCTTTTGCACATTCACACTTTCCAATCTATCAAAATTTTAAAAAGAACCTGGAAATCTGTTCTTCCTGCCTAAGTGAATAATCTCACATTTTTCCACATTCCACTAATACAGTAAGCAATGTGCATATGCCAGGGTTTATCTATTAAATCAAACAACTGAACAGTCAAAGCACAATTAGGCGGAAATTAGATATTTTCTGATTAACTTGTTCAGAGATGTTACGACACACTTCTGGAGCAGTTGGGATTTGGCTCCTGGATCAGAGATAGGGACACCACCACTGTGCCACAAGAGCCCTAACCAGACAGAAGCTTGATTACATTTATACCTGACACAATAATCTTCATTGAGTTTGAATCCCAGCAGAGTTGACTTCACTTTAATCCTTCAATTGTGAATGAACCGTGCCATGTTTTTGACTGTAGAGGATAAACAAGAAATCAGGTAAAATAAAAAAGGTCATCCCATATGTTTGGAATAATTTCTGCCTTTTACGCAGTAAGACCGAATACAATACTATGTCCAGTGGGATTTTATGTTTTTGAAGAACGTGTTTGTCTTTTTTTTAATCTACCTCTCTATTGCACTACTGTCTGTACTCTAGCTCTGTTCTCTCTGGAAGCCATTTCAACCTCTCCACCTGGATGATAACCAGGGAAGGAACCATTGAGAAAACAACCTGGCTTTCATATTATTGAAATCAAATTAGTGAAATGTGTTTCAGATCAGTACCATAAAACCTAGGTGATGCGTTCTTCAGATTTGCTTGAACAGTGTAAGTTACTCATTTAAAAAAAAACCGAAAGAACTGCGGATGCTGGTAAATCAGGAACAAAAACAAAGTTGCTGGAAAAGCTCAGCAGGTCTGGCAGCATCTGTGAAGGAAAAAACAGAGTTAACATTTCAAGTCCAGTGACCCTTCCTCAGAACTGAGTCCATGATCAGTAAGTTCACTCCTGCCTCTACAATTTATGAAAACTAAATTTTAGCACATTTTGCAGTGTATTTAATGTTTCATTCTACTCCAGGAAACACAAATCAATTCATCAAGCATAAATAAGTGCATCACAATGTAATTCACAGTAGTTTCTATTGTTCTGATCCATTTGCTGCTGTCTGTTGGTCTCAGTAAAACTACTGTCAGGGTTGCTGCACACTGAGCTCCAATTAAAGGTATTGGTGATTGGAATGCAACATTTTCAGGCCATTATTGAAGCCCATATTTCATTTCTGCTGCTGCCACAGGGCTCTGCAAAAGCTTTGTGCAGTTTCAGTGGTGCTGCCTCTTTGTCTATCTCCACAGCTGCAGTACCTTTGTGGGCTTTTTATTGCTGTATGAGAGGAAGAGGAGCAACGGATGATTGCATGCATTTCAGGCTGTCCCTGAGGCTGTCCACATATGAACACACCTCCTCTGGAAGTTGCAGACAATGACTAACATACTTTTTGCTTCTTTCTCATGAGCACAGTCCCTCTAGACTGTGATTTACACATGATTGAATTATGTCTCATCATGAGATGTAACCTGAACCTATGCTGTTCCACAAGCATAGCGCTGCGAGTAGCCATTATGGTCTGAAAGATTCTGCTTTGGAGACATGACAGTTGCATAAAACAGTGCATGATGGGACAAGCAAGTCGTCAATGCTTCATTTGCTTCCCAGTGGACAAGAAGTGACCTCATGACAGAAGTGTGTGACTCAGAGTTGCCATGGTGCCTGGAGGATTATAGGGAGGGATTAGTGATTATATCCACTCAACAAAGTAACAGCTGCTCATAAGGAAGGATGACCACTCTCTGTAGAAAGTTTCTTTGTGACATTGCCGCCAATTAATGCTTGTTCTTCCAGACAGTTGTCAACATATCCTTGTTTTAAGGCAGCCCACAACCCACTAACCTTATCTGATTCACGAAATTATGCTTTTGGATGATCAAGGGTCTACTGTGAAGTGCCAAAGTGAATACTGAAACATCACATTTCCCACTTTGCCTTTAAACAGGCATGAATAAAGAAACCAAACCTTATACACCAGTTTAAAAAGTCACAGCTTGTATCAGAGAATCTTCAATTATCCCCTGTTTTTGCCATGAATTTCCTTCAAAGTAACTTATCAGGTAACAAGGTATAGAGCTGGATGAACACAGCAGGCCAAGCAGCATCAGAGGAGCAGGAAAGCTGACGTCTCGGGTCTGGACCCTTCTTCAGAAATGGGGGGAGGGGAAGGGGATTCTGAAAAAGAAAGCAAAGGAATCCAATTCAGACACAGAGATATCCCAGACTGTCTATTTTCAGCAGTTAACAAGAAAGCAGCACAGGAGTTGCATTTCACGTTTTCGAGTTGGCCCACGGGCTATGATTGTGAAATGCAGCAGCATTATTACGTAGTCAATTGACGCACAATTGGATCCTATCTACCAATGACTTAAAAAGAAATAGGACACAGAACAAGAGATAGTAGGATCTGCAGATGCTGGAGAATCCGAGACAACAAGGTGCAGGGCTGGATGAACACAGCAGGCCAAGCAGCATCATAGGAGCAGAGAGGCTGACGTTTTGGGCCTAGACCCTTCATCAGAAAAGGGGGAGGGGAAGGGGGTTTTGAAATAAATAGGGAGAGAGTGGGAGGCGGATAGAAGAGGGATAGAGGAGAGGATAGGTGGAGAGGAAACAAACAGGTCGAAGAGGCGGGGATGGAGCCAGTAAAGGTGAGTGTAGGTAGGGAGTTAGGAAGGGGATAGGTCAGTCCAGGGAGGACGGACAGGTCAAGGTGGCGGGATGAGGTTGGTCGGTAGGAGATGGAGGTGCGGCTTGAGGTGGGAGGAGGGGATAGGTGGGAGGAAGAACAGGTTAGGGAGGCAGGGACGAGCTGGACTGGTTTTGGGATGCGGTAGGGGGAGGGGAGATTTTGAAACTTGTGAAATCCACATTGATACCATTGGGCTGCAGGGTTCCCAAGCGGAATATGAGTTGCTGTTCCTGCAACCTTCAGGTGGCATCGTTGTGGCACTGCAGGAGGCCCAGGATGGACATGTCGTCTGAGGAATGGGAGGGGGAGTTGAAATGGTTCGCGACTGGGAGGTGCAGTTGTTTATTGCGAACCGAGCGTAGGTGTTCTGCAAAGCGGTCCCCGAGCCTCCGCTTGGTTTCCCCGATGTAGAGGAAGCCACACCGGGTACAGCGGATGCAGTATACCACATTGGCAGATGTGCAGGTGAACATCTGCTTGATGTGGAAAGTCTTCTTGGGGCCTGGGATGGGGGTGAGGGAGGAGGTATGGGGGCAGGTGTAGCACTTCCTGCGGTTGCAGGGAAAAGTGCCGGGTGTGGTGGAGCTGGAGGGGAGTGTGGAGCGGACAAGGGAGTCACGGAGAGAGTTGTCCCTCCGGAAAGCAGATAAGGGTGGGGAGGGAAAGATGTCTTTGGTGGTGGGGTCGGATTGCAGATGGCGGAAGTGTCGGAGGATGATGCGTTGGATCCAGAGGTTGGTGGGGTGGTACGTGAGGACGAGGGAGATTCTTTTTTGGTTCTTATTGCGTGGACGGGGTGTGAGGGCCTCCCACCCACCTTCCTGCAAAAATGCTATCCCCTATTCCCAATTCCTTCGCCTCTGCCGCATCTGCTCCCAGGATGAGGCATTCCACTCCCGTACATCTCAGTTGTCCTCGTTTTTCAAGGACTGTAACTTCCCCTCCTCGGTGGTCAAAAACGCCCTCAACCGTGTCTCCCACATCTCCCGCAACTCATCCCTCACACCCCGTCCACGCAATAAGAACCAAAAAAGAATCCCCCTCATCCTCACGTACCACCCCACCAACCTCCGGATCCAACGCATCATCCTCCGACACTTCCGCCATCTGCAATCCGACCCCACCACCAAAGACATCTTTCCCTCCCCACCCTTATCTGCTTTCCGGAGGGACAACTCTCTCCGTGACTCCCTTGTCCGCTCCACACTCCCCTCCAGCCCCACCACACCCGGCACTTTTCCCTGCAACCGCAGGAAGTGCTACACCTGCCCCCATACCTCCTCCCTCACCCCCATCCCAGGCCCCAAGAAGACTTTCCACATCAAGCAGATGTTCACCTGCACATCTGCCAATGTGGTATACTGCATCCGCTGTACCCGGTGTGGCTTCCTCTACATCGGGGAAACCAAGCGGAGGCTCGGGGACCGCTTTGCAGAACACCTACGCTCGGTTCGCAATAAACAACTGCACCTCCCAGTCGCGAACCATTTCAACTCCCCCTCCCATTCCTCAGACGACATGTCCATCCTGGGCCTCCTGCAGTGCCACAACGATGCCACCTGAAGGTTGCAGGAACAGCAACTCATATTCCGCTTGGGAACCCTGCAGCCCAATGGTATCAATGTGGATTTCACAAGTTTCAAAATCTCCCCTCCCCCCACCGCATCCCAAAACCAGTCCAACTCGTCCCTGCCTCCCTAACCTGTTCTTCCTCCCACCTATCCCCTCCTCCCACCTCAAGCCGCACCTCCATCTCCTACCGACCAACCTCATCCCGCCACCTTGACCTGTCCGTCCTCCCTGGACTGACCTATCCCCTTCCTAACTCCCTACCTACACTCACCTTTACTGGCTCCATCCCCGCCTCTTCGACCTGTTTGTTTCCTCTTCACCTATCCTCTCCTCTATCCCTCTTCTATCCGCCTCCCACTCTCTCCCTATTTATTTCAAAACCCCCTTCCCCTCCCCCTTTTCTGATGAAGGGTCTAGGCCCGAAACGTCAGCCTCTCTGCTCCTATGATGCTGCTTGGCCTGCTGTGTGCATCCAGCCCTGCACCTTGTTGTCTAGGACACAGAACAATATTGTTTTTTATTCCTATTTACCTCAGCTTGGCATTGTTGCAAAGATTTTCATCGATTGAAAAAGGTTAACCATCTCCATTGGCACAAACTCAATCACCTGATGGAACCGATTTGATTACTTGGCAAAGGAACCAAAGGAAAGATGAATTTCTTTCCAGTGAGCCAGAACAGGTAAATTCCTTTCAGTCACTGCGCCACCCAAACACCAGTCAAGGAATATGGATCTGTTGAATTTCTCATTTAATTTGTTTGACAGGGTCTTAGTCCAGTTGTGTTTACCGGTTTCAGACTTTCTTTTCATTTTCAGTCCAACAAAGGCACAACCTGGATGTGCACAGAAAAGCCAACTAAGCCCAGAGATACGCATCTTGATGGAGGAGAAGGAACAGGCCCTGCTGGCTTTTCAGGAAACTGTTCAGGTAAGAATATAGAAACAGGAGTTGGCAACTCAGTGCCTTGAGCTACTCCATCATTCAATTGGACCATGGTTGTTAGAGTGATAGAGTGATTATTACAGCAAAGAAGGAGGCCATTCAGTACGTTGAGTCCATTGCTGCTCTCTTTAGAGTAATTCATTAAGTCTTATTTCCCTACTCTACTTATGTCACCTACAAGTTTATTTAGACCATAACCGTAAGACACAGGAGCAGAAAAAGGGCATTAAGCTTATTGGGTCTGCTGTACTATTCAATGAGATCATGGATGATCTGATAATCTTTATATCCACTTTTCTGCCTTTTCCCTATTTCCCTTGACTCCCTTATTAATTAAAAATCTATCTACCTCAGTACTGAATGTACTTATTGACTCAGCCCTGATAGCCCTCTGTGGTAAAGGATTCCAGATTCACTACTTCACCTCAATTTTTTCTCCCTTTGTCCAGTCCCTTCCCTCTTACATCTATAGTTCCTCTGACCCTTTACATCAGTTTCAGAATTTCCATTTTGTGAGATCAAGGCACCTCCTCTTCACCATGGACATGCAATCCCATTACACATTCATCCCCCACTAGGATAGCCTCAGGGCTCTCTGCTTCTTCCTGGAAAAAAGGACTGAACCGTCCCCATTCACACGGGCCTCCTCTGCTTTGTCAAGCTCATCCTCACCCTGAACAACTTTTCTTTTAACTCCTCTCAGTTTCTTCAGGTCGAAGGGGTGGCCATTGGTACAAGCATGGGCCCCAGTTATGCCTGTCGCTTTGTTCTAGTCCTACTCTGGCCCCGATCCACAACTTTTTCTCCAGTACGTTGATGACATCATCAGTGCTGTTTTCCCTGGAAAATTTTATCAATTTCGCTTCCAATTTCCACCCCAGCTCTCACCTTCCCCTGGTCCATCTCTGACTTCTCCCATCCCTTCCTCGACATCTCTTTTCATTTCAGGGGATAGGCTGGCGACCAATATTGACTACAAACCAACCAACTCCTAAAGTTACCTTGATTGTACATTCTCACACCCTGCTTCCTATAAAAAGAATCTCTATTCTATTCTCCCATTTCCTCTATCTCTGTCGCATCTGTTCTGATGAAGTCAACTTCAACAAGGGGGTCTCCACCTTCTTCGTCAAACAAGGATTCCATAGCACCCTAGATGACAGGGCCCTCAGTCGGGTCTGACCCATCTCCCGCACTTCAGCCCTCACCACCCCCCGCTTCCCTCTCACAACAGTGACAGGGTGCCGCTTGTCTTTACCTACCATCCCACCACCATCCATGTGCAGAGGATCATTAGCCGCCATTTCCACCACCTCTAACAGGATGTCACCACCAGACATATATTCCCCTTACCTCCCTTGTCAGCCTTCTGCTAGGACCGTTTCTTCCAGGACACCTTGGTCCACTCCTCCTTCATTGCCAATACTATCCCACAGACCCATGGCACCTTCCCCTACAAGCACAGAAAGTGTGTCACCTGTCTGTTTACTTCCTCCTTCAGTATCCAAGGGCCCAAACAGCCTGCACTTAATTCAATCTAGTCTACTGTATTTGTGCACACAGTGTGGTCTCCTCTGCATTGGGGAAACGAAGCGTAGACTGGGTGACCGCTTTGCAGAACATCTACGTTTAGTTCAAAAAAAAGACCCTGAGCTTCCAGCTGCCTGACACTTGCACACACCACCTTATTCCCTGGCCAACATTTCTGTCTCAGCCTTGCTGCAGTGCTCCAGCAAAGCTGGAAGAACAGCACCTCATTTTCTGCTTGGGAACTCTTTAGCCTTCTGGGCTCAATATCGAGTTCAATAATTTTACGGCTTGAGTTGCCTTCTCCCATGTCCTTACCACAACCCCCACACACCAGTCCTTGTTATCACATGGTCTACTATTAACACAACCCATTGTCAGCCACTAATAGTCCCCATTCTCCTAGGCTGATCATTATCTACTCCTTTTTTCTGTTCAAATGTTCTCCTCTCTGGGCTCTCTCTCCACCTATAATTTACTCCTTACCCCTGTTCCCACCCTATCTTCTGCATAAAAACACTTTTTTCTAGCTACCATCAGTTGTGAAGAAGGATCACTCGACCCTATCCATAGATGCTGCCAGACCTGCAGAGCTTTTCCAGCAATTTCTGTTTTTGTTCCAGATTCACTATCTCTGAGAGAAGACACTCTTCCTCATCTCTATTGTAATCAGGTGACCTCTGTATCCTGTGTCCACTTTCTCCCCATGCCCTTTTATCTCTTTGGTCTCAGTCACTTCCAATGACAGAGAATTTGACAGCCTCACCACTATCTGGGTGAAGAAATTTCTCCTAATCTCAGTCCTAAATACCTTAGCTCATATACTTAAACTGTGGCGCTTGTACTGGACTCCCCGGTTATTAGGAGCATCCTTCCTGTGTCTACGTTGTCTAATCCCATGAGATTCAGGGTGGCACGGTGGCTCAGCGGTTAGCACTGCTGCCTCACAGTGCCACGGACCTGTGTTCAATTCCACCCTCGGGCAACTGTCTGTGTGGAGTTTGCACGTTCTCCCTGTGTCTGCGTGGGTTTCCTCTGGGTTCTCCGGTTTCCTCCCGCAGTCCAAAGGTGTGCAGGCTAGGTGGATTGGCTGTGATAACTTGCCCGTAGTGTTCAGGGGTGTGTAGATTAGGTGGGTTATAGGAGAATGGTTCTGGGTGGGATGTTCCAAGGGTCAGTGTGGACCTGTTGGGCCGAAGAGCCTGTTTCCATACTGTAGGGATTCTATGATAATTTTTCGATGACATCCCGTCTTATTCTACTTATCTCCAGTAATTATAGTCCTATGTGATTACATAGAAATAGATTAAATAGTTTCTCTTCGTATATCAGTCCTGCTATCTCAGGAATCAGTCCAGTAAACATTTTTTGCACTCCCCTCATAACCAGAACACCCTTCCCTAGATAAAAAGACCAAAACTACACACAGTATTTGAAGTGTGGTCTCACCAAGGCCCTGTAAAATTGCAGCAAGACGTCTCTGCTTCTGTACTCTCACTCTGAAGTCTAACATACCATTTGCCTCCTTCACCACCTGCTGCATCTGCATGTCTACTTTCAGTGAGTGGTGTACAAGGACACTCAGGTCTCAAATGCCCAACCAGTTTCATTTTGAAATGATTTTTCGCTTTCTTAACTCTATTACCCATCTTTGTTCTGCAACTCTTTGTACTCTTAGTTGCTGGAACTCCTGTGATCTGAAGAAGAGTCATAGAACACAGAACAGTACAGCACAGTTGTTGTGCCAACCTATTTTCCTTTGCTAAGATCAAACAACCCTGCATACCCTATATTTTACTATCCTTCATGTGGCTATCCAAGAATCGCTTAGATGTCCCTAATGTATCTGAGTCCACTACCACCCCCAGCAGTGCACTCCACGCACGCACCACTCTGTGTAAAGAACCTACCTCTGACATTGCCCCTCTCCCTTCCTCCAATCACCTTAAAATTAACAAACGTGCTGCCAGGCACGGATAGGGATCGAACCCACGATTTTCAGCTTACGAGACCAAAGCCCTTCAACTTGGCCACCGTGTCCTGTTTGGGGTCATATCAGACTCGAATTATGAGTTTTTTTTTCTGCCTACAGACGCTGCCAAACCTGCTGACGTTCTCCAGCATTTTCAGTTTTAATTTATACAGATGCAATCCTTTCTTTTGCTTTAGTTTATTAAATGTCAACCAAATAGGTGATACCTATCTATTTGTTCCTTTAATCATCACATCTCTTATTCATTTTCCTCCAATGAAAGTAAGTTCAAGCATTTGAATCCTTCTTTAACAATAGAGAAGTAAAGGAAGATTTTCAGTTCCGTCGCTATTTCTGTGACCAGAGGAAACTGAGAAGCATGCTGCTGACAATCAAGTGCTTTTTTGAAGTGTAGTCGCTGTTTGTTAGGATAATGTTGGAGCACATCTGGGATGGTGTCAGTCTGTAAATTTAGTCTCGATATTATATCTCAGATACTCCAGGTGAAAGTTCGCCGACTTGAGCATCTTCTGTACTTGAAAAACGTTCGAATCGATGACCTCACACGACGTGTGCAACAAGCTGAACACAGATGAAAGTACCTGTGCATTCTCCTCCCATCTCAGCCATGACAACCGTGTTTAAAACTCTTACAGATCAGTGTTTTAAAGGATAAGGATAACAAAAGTCGGTGATATTTCCCAGCCTAACAGAAGATGTGTAGCAGATACTTAATGAGTATAATGAAACATGGCAGCAGTTGTGTAATTCAGGCAATGTGGCCAAGCCTGAACCTATTCTCACCTGACATTGACATTTAGGGACCCCGTCATTAAACTGCTAGGTTGTGACAATTATTTTCCCATATCTAATTCAGTATGCTGAACCTTTTTATATAATTATCTCTCTTAAAATTCATTAATAGGGTGTCACTGTCTAGGTCAGCATTTTTATTACCTATCCCAGCGAGCATTTAAGAGTCAACCACATTCTGTGTGGGTCTGGAGTCACATGTAGGCCAGATCAGGTAAGGATGGCAGTTTCCTTCCCAAAAGCACATTAGTGTACCAGATGGGTTTTTCTTGATAATCTGCAATGGTTTCATTGACATCATTACACCCTTATTTCCAGATTTGTATTGAATTCAAATTCCACTATCTGCCATTGGCAGGATTGAACCCAGGTCCTCAGGACATTACCTGGGTTTCTGTAATAACAGTGTAGCAATAATACCATTCAGACCACTGCCTCCCCTTAAATCAGAAGGATAACTGAGATCATCATGCTCAGAATCAACCTTTAGAATGATGAGCTAAACTCCGACACATTATGTGCCACAAAACTATAATGGAACCTAGTGATTGTGTCACCTTTACAGCTCTCATTTCAGCTATTATTATGATAATAGTGGTTTATCACAAGATATGACACAGATGAGAAGGCCCTTTATCTCACTGTAACAAATGAAGTACATTTGTACTCTCAAAGACCCTACAATTTTCCTGTCATATCGTCTGTTTCTAAAATTACTCCAGTGTTTTTGATTCCACTGTCTCATCAGGGCATCAACTCCAAGCATTGATCATGCTTTTTGAAGGAAAATCTTCAAGGCACCAGTCATTAACTTGTTTCCATCTAATTTGATTCTCTCCTAACCACCAAGTCGCCACCATTAGTTTGAAATCATCCCACAGGTTTAAATTTCCACACAATTTATTTTCTTGCTCACTATGATGAGGTTAACAGTTGTGGTCACCTTTTTTCAAGGGTGAAAAGATTGTGCTGCTCCCAGGGTATAAGGACATAGACGTAGGAGCAGAAGTCGGTAATTTGGCCTGTCAAATCTGCTGTACTATTCAGTGAAATCATGGCTGATCTGATAATCCTCACTTCCATTTTCTGTCTTTTCCTCATAACTCTTGATTTCCTTACTACTAAAAATTTGTCTTTCTCAGCATTGAGTACAATTGACAATACAAGCATCTGTAATAGAGAATTTCACAGATCCACCACTCTCTGAGAGAAGAAATTCCTCCCCATCTCAGTCTTAAATAGATGGCCCCTTAGTCTGAAATTATGCCCTCTGGTCGTGAACTTTATCACAAGGAATCAAACCTCTCTGCATTTACTCTGTAAAGCGCAATAAGAATCTTATATGTTCCATAAGGTCTCTCTCATTTTTCTCTACTCCAATGAGTAGAGGCTTAACCTACTTAATCTGTCCTCAAAAGAAAATCTCTCCATTCCCAGGATCAACCTAATGAACCTGCCTTCAAGCCCGTATATCTTTCCTTAGATAAGGGGACCAAAACTGTTCACAGTATTCCCGTTGTAGTCTGAACTATTGCCTGATACAGTTTTGGCACAGTTCCCTTCTGTTTATACTACTTTCCCTTTGGATTAAAGACCGACAGTCCATTTGCCTTCCCTGTTAACTGCTGCTAGCTTTTTGTGATTCATGCATACGGACCCCTAAATCTCTCTTTGTCGCAGCTTTTTGCAGAGTTTCTCAATTTAAACAACATTCAACTCCTCTATTCTTTTACCAAACTTCACATTTTTCCACATTATCTTCCATCTGCCAAGTTTTTGCACACTTCTTAACCTGTCCATGTTCCTCTGGAGACTCTTTTTATCATCGTCACCACTTGCTTTTCCGTCTATTTTAGTGTCATCACAAAGTTCCTGATAATATGTTTACTCCCCACATCCAAGTTATTAATGTATAGTGTAAGTAATTGTAGTTCTAGAACAGACCCCTGTGGTGCACCACTATTTACAAGTTGCCATCATGAAAATGCACTTTTAATCCCAACTCTCTGTCTTGTAGCCCTAACCCTAACCCTATCCCAGTGCAATGGGCTCTTACTGAGTAGCATTATATGAGGTACCTTTTGAAAATCCATATAGAGTCCAGTAACTAGTACCCCTTTGTCAATCCTGATTTTCTTCTCCTCAAAGAATTCTAATAAATTTATCAGGTATGATTTCCTAACCACGAAGCTATGCTTCCCTGCTTAATTGTATTATTCAGTTGTAAATGCTCTGCTATTACATCCTTTATCATGATTATTGTGGAGCTAACTTCTCTATGGTTACCGTTTTTCACCTCCTTTTTTTTGAACAAGGGTGTTACACTGGCAGTTTACTAATTCTTGAAAACTTTTTCAGAATTAAAAGAATTTCAAAAGATTAGAACCAGTGCCTTCAGCATCCTAGGATGCAGCCCATCAGGTCCAGGGGATAAGTCGGCCTTTAGTACCATTAGTTTCCTTATTGCTGTTTTTCTAGTTATAGTAATTGCATTTTTTCCTCCCTATGTTTTCCCCTTTCTTTAGTGTTTTTGAAATGCTATTGATATCCTTTACTGTGAAGATTGATACAAAGTATTTACTCAAATGCTCTGCCATTTTATGGTTCCATTATTATTATTCCAGTCCATAGTCAAAGTGACCTATTTTATATTTAAAGAAGCTCTTACTGTGCATTTTTATGTTACTCACTAGTTTATCCTCATAGTTTATTTTCTACCTTTTTCTGTATATCTTTTGTTGGCCTTTAAAACTTACTCAATCCTTTAATTTATCACTAATCTTTGCAACATTGTACGTTTTTCCTTCAATTTAAGCTATCCTTAAATTCCTTGGTCAACCAGTGTTGAATTATCCCCTTCCTAGCATCCTTCTTCCTCACTGGTCAAAGTCCTAGAACTCCCTCCCTAATGACATTGTGGGTATACCTGCATCAAATGGATAGCAGTGGTTCAAGAAAACAGTTCGCAAACATTTAAATAATACTGAGATACCAAGGTGTAGAGCTGGATGAACACAGCAGGCCAAGCAGCATCAGAAGAGCAAGAAAGCTGACATTTCAGGCCTAGACCCTTCTTCAGAAAAGCAGAAACCCCATCTCTTAAATAATACTCTTCCTTTCTGCTTTCCGCACCAAAGCATATAACTTAACATTTAGCCATGTTGCACCACTTATGTTATGTGGTTTCCCACACACTCAACTTGTCCAAATCACCTTGAAAACTACTTGCATCCTCCTCACAACACACAATCCTGTCCAGTTTTGTTATCAGCAGACTTGGAAACGTTGCATTTGGATCCCTTATACAGGTTACTTAAATATATTGTGATTAGCTGGGACCTGAGCACTGATCCTTGCAGTACTCCACTAGTCATTCTCTGTCTCTCAGAAAATGACCTATTATTCTCACTCTCTATTTTCATGTCTGTCAATCAATGCTCAGTCAATGCCAATATATTACCCCCATCTCATATGTTTTAATTTTACTACTAACTTCTTATGAGGGACTTTGTCAAAAGCCTTCTAAAACTCCAATACACCACACTGGTTCTCCCTTATCTATTCTACTAGGTAATCCTAAAAAAAAAACTCCATTAGATTTGTCTTTCATAAACTCAGGGTGGCTTTGTACTATTCTGTTAATTCTTTCCAAATGTTCCTTTGTTACATCTTTTACAATGGACTCCAGCATTTTCCACACTACTAATGGGACATGAACATTGCTGGCTGACAAACATTTATTGTCCATCCCTAATTGCCCAGAGGGCAGTTATGAGTCAACCACATTGCTTTGAGTCTGGAGTCACATGTAGGCCAGACCAGATAAGGATAGCAGTTTCCTTCCCTAAAGGACATTAGTGAACCAGATGGATTTTTCCCAACAATCAACAACGGATTCATGGCCATCATTAGTCTCCTAATTCCAGATTTTTATTGGATTCAGATTCTGTGGTATGCCTTGGCAAGGTGCGAACCCAAGTCCCCAGAACATTACCTGGGTCTCTGGATTAACAGTCCAGTGATAATACCACTAGGCCATTGCCTCTTCTTACCTGTTCAGAATCTAGCGCTTTGTCCCTCCATTAGTTTAAAGCTCTTTCTACAGTCCCAGTTATGCGGCCTGCCAGTATGCTGGTCACATGAAGGCCATTACACCAGAATGACTCCCTTCTACCAAAATCCATTCCTCCCACACCATTCTAAAGGTATTTATGTCATGCAAAGCATTGAGAGAGAAAGCTGAGGGGAATGAGCTAACAATGACAGCAGTCATGTTTATATTGGTCTTCAGAGGAAATTTTGTTGCTCCACCATGTTGCATATTGAGCTGCGAAGCTTGTTCTTCCCAGGGCCTCTCCAGCTGTATTGTTCTGATAATTACCTCAAACCGCCTGACTAAAGGACCTCTACAGGTCATTCAACAGTAAGCTTTGGAAAGCATTGATTAACAAGGGAGTAAAGGGTTACCGAAAATAAACAGGAAGGTAGAGTTGAGGCCATAAGAGCAAGACCTTATCAAATAACAGAGCAGTCTTCAGGGATGGAATGGCCCACGCTTCTCCTAATTTGTATGTATGTTGTCACAGGGATGACAGTAAGTCAAGGCCAACCATTTCCAGTGTTTCTACAAGGCTGGAAAATGTCTCCCTTTGTAAGACTCCAAAAGCAACTGCAGTGATTAAAGACTAGGAACCCCTCTGTATTCATTAACTTGACTCGCAATTAATATGATCAGAGTGAATGATTAGAAGATATCTCTTGGTATGCAAGAGAAAAGGTGACCGTCAGGACTATTGCTGTTATCTCCCAATCCAATTAACAGTTTTAGCAAACCACAAAGCATTCACACCTTTGAGACAAGAGTGTGCTGTGTCCCATTCACAATCACTATAGTTGCTGTGTCTAATAATATAATATTGAGTGTCTTGTATACCACCAATGAGTTGAGTATTATTTTTAAAAAAAATAATTTTGTGGCTGTGTTAAAAGGGCTCCTTCAGGAAACAGCTGCTATAAGGAATTATGAGTAAAATTGATTTTCAATCCATTCACGCCTGTTTGAAATGTTTATGATGGTCACTGAGAACACCATTGATAATATTGGTTTCTGAAAACAGCTGAATATTTTGCAGAAGTTGAATTAACATTATTAGAGTATAATTATTAAAGAGTAGAGGACTTCCCTGCTTGGATATGTTATGTTTTTGAACATGGTAAAAACAACAAATGTAGATGTATTTTTTGTGCCATCTCACTTCCTATGTCACACCTAATGATAGGAAAATACTACAGCACATATGCTAATTTCAAGTGAGACTAGCAGGATGTTGCCTCTGAGCAAAATAATTGCACTTTGTAGTCTGAAAGGTACATACAACAACATTTTAGCAAGAAACAGTACATCACACATTACATTATGTAATAACTGCTGTCCTGATAAGACAGAACATTTTCTGAATTGTTGTGAGCACCAGCATAGAGCCATCCAGCACAGAAACAGACCCTTTGGTCGAACCCATCCATGCCACCCCAGTTCTCTAAACTGAACTAGTCCCATTTGACTGTGTTTGCCCCATATCCCTCTATACATTTCCTTTCCATGTGCCCATCCTGATGCTTTTTAAATGTTGTAATTGTATTCACTTCTGCCACTTCCTCTGGCAACTTGTTCCATACACTCATGACGCTCTGTGTGAAAAAGTTGCCCCTCAGGTCCTTTTTAAGTCTTTCCCCTCTCAGTTAAACCTATGCCCTCTAGCTTGGGACTCTCCTACCTGGGGAAAAGAATTTGGCTATTCACCTTCTCTATGCCCGTCATGATTTTAGCCATGATGTGGAGATGCCAGTGTTGGACTGGGGTGGACAAAGTCAAAAATCACACATCAGGTTATAGTCCAACAGGTTCATTTGAAAATGCAATAAACCCTGTTGGACAATAACCTAGTTTTGTGTGATTTTTGACTTCATGATTTCATAAAGCTCTATGAGATCAGCCCTTAGCCTCCTACCCTGCAGGGAAAAGAATCCCAGTCTATCCAGCCTCTTCCTCGAGCTCAAACCCTCCAGTATTGTTAATATCCTTGTAAATCTGTTTCTGTACCCCTTCCGGTTTAATAACGTCGTCCCGATAGCAGGGCGACCAGAATTGTAGTACACGAAATGTGGCCTTACCGATGGTATGTTCAGCCATAACATGACGTCCCAACTCCTGTACTCGGTGCTGCGACTGATGAAGGCAAGCATGCCAAACGCCTTCTTCAACAACCATGTATACTTGTGACATCACTTTCAAGGAACTGTGTCCCTGCATCTCTAGGTTTCTCAAGAGAGATCCACCAGTAATATGAGTAACATAACATCATTGTCCTTCATAGTAACATTTAATCCAATTTACTCAACTGGAGATCCATGAATCACATTAGATCTCGTCGATGTTAAGTTACTGTAGTGATGTGACTGACTAAGGAGCTATATAGGTGCCGATGGGGGCTACAAGTTTAGATCAATTTGATTCATTATTTATCTCCTTAATTACTTCACATTCAATCCTTGGACTCTGAGCAATCACAACTATTTTACAATTAAAAGTGTTGTCAACAGATAGTGCATTAGCACCATGAATAGAATTTACCAACAACCCTACCCTCCCACCAATCACCCACACAAACACTTTGTGCTGAGCTTCCTTGATGGTAGGCTGTGTTGGTGAATTAAACTCCCTCACAATCCAGAGTTCAGGGATCAAATGATATTGTTCTCCAAACTTGTATACTCTTCTGCTGTTCTTACAAAAGTGCAAAGGATGACAAAATTAGAGCATTGGCATGAGAGATATGATTTACTTACTTTGGTTTGAAACTAGAGTTGCAATGACTGAAAATAATTTTCTCAACATCTGACAATTTTTATTCACGATCTCCTTCTATGAAACAGGATGCTAATTGAAAATTATGGAAGTAATTTGGAATTATTTACCTGATTTTTAACAAGCTCTGGTGTAAAATTGTATTTACCCACATTATGATCTGAATACTTGAAATAAATATATTTTCTGAGAATTGCAAATGCTCCTTTAGGCATAATTTAAGACAGAGGCTTTGCAAATGTTTCTGAAGATCAGTATTTTTGATCATCACTGCTGTGAAATGAAATGATATTTTCTATTTCCCACTCCAGTCATCTGTGAGATCTCTCAGTGAGATTGTTAATTTACTGCTAAGGAAGACAGAAATTTGAATTGTACATTCAGGTCTACTAAGAACTCAGTTCAAACAGCCCACAGGCTACGTAGAATATTTACAATCAGGAGATAGCAGATTGAGCGCAGGCCAGAGGATTAAGCGCGGGATGGCGGATTGAATATGGGCTGGAGCCGATGGTGGATCACTCGGTTCGGTGGTGAGATGGAGCTGGTGAAGCAATGGCAGTCTTGATTCCTCCGTGCTCTCCCCCCCTCCCTCACCCCATTCCTGGCAATCGATTAGGCAACGAGAGTGGGCCTTTCTTGCCTCCAGGGTGTCCTGGCATTGGGAGTGGCAGTATCAGCAGTGGTGTGGCTCCTTCTGGCATTCTGAGCAGCGGAGCTCCTCCCGGAGATTAGAGGCAGCAGCGGCGGTGAAAGTGTGGCTCCTCCAGGCAGGACTCATGGGCTGGCCTAGACTCCAGGCTGTAACTGGGCCCAGGTGCCTGCCCCATGACGGAGCGTTCCAGACACATTTACGGAGATGGGACTTTGGATTTTGAGATCTGGACTTTTTTTTCCCTTTTATCTTTTGACTCTGTTAAATGTTTTAGTTCAGACTTTTTAACCAAAATGGCACCAGAAAATGGTGACTATGTGCACTTTTCACTGTACCCATGTATTCCTATACTTAGTACATGTGACAATAAAATCTAAATCTAAAATGGTAAAAGTCTAAATCGAGAGACTATTTTCTCCCCTTCCTCCAATATTTTCCC